TCCAAAATGTTACATGCTGCTGCTCAGTGTTTTCTGAGTGTCTCCTTCTTTAATTCCCCAAAAACATATAAATCTGGAGACTTCTTTTACACTTCCAAAAAGCAGGATGGTACTGTACGTTTGGTGTTGTTGGATTTTATTTAAAGTAGTAGTTACAAGGTGGAAATAAATACAACTCCTATGTTTTCTGGAATGAAATTATTTCTGACAATTATTACGATCAGTGTAAAACATTTTAAAACGTTTTTAAACAAATTACTGTGACAGACCCTTAAAAAAAATTGGTCCCAGGGATCTGAACACATGAAAGCAGTCCAAAGCAGTCACCCCCAAACACCTACCAAAAATCCAGCCACCACCTGTTATGATCCCTGCCTCTCGGCAACGAAAGAGGCAGAAGAAGGCGTAGCCTTAGTTCATCAGTCCACCTATCACGGTACGCGTTCACCATCACACCTCCATCTCATCAGGTATTTTAGCATTAGTCTTTCCCTACCTCCTCGCTCAGTATAGGTTTCCCTTTCGAGTTTCTTATTTGCGCTACGCCTTCAACCTCCTCGTACTGTTCTGGTTCCGACTTTGGTTTTTCCCCTTTTGCTACGTCTATTGGATTACGGCTCGGCTTCGGTTGCTTTCTTCTAGTTTGGTTCTCTGGCTTCCCTTGGATTCTCGGCTCTCCCCTTCGTCTACGGTTTTGGATTACGGTTTGGCTTTGGCTACTCTCTCTCGGTTTGGATCACTGGCTTCCCTTGGACTCTCGGCTCTCTCCTTCGGCTACGGTATTAGGATCACGACTCGTCTCTGTCGGCTCCCGCAAGTGGGTTCACTACTTGGTTTCGGTTTCACTGACCGAATCCGTAACACCACCAACATCATATTTTCCACCTGGTGTGTCTATTTAGAAATGAGAGAGGTCTTTGATAGCATCTAGTGGCAGGTCGACTGCTTTAGCAGTCCTTTCCAAGACTGGCCAGTCACAGACATACTGTGTTATCTGATCCTTTGGGGAGAGTAGTGACTCTCTGTAGCATCCAAATGAGTTAGCTGGACCAAATTAATTTTTCTAATTTGTAACCTTTCTTACAATCTTAAGTAGTGAGCATAGTAAATGTACAGCATACCTCCGACTGGAATGGGGGAACTAACTTGTATAAAACTCTGTGTGCATTTTAAACCACACCTCATAAACTCATTCTCTTAGCTTTGCGTCACTATAAACTAAAGAACGGTATATAGAATATAGGCCAATGGAGACTTCTAAAGTTTAAGAGAAAGAAGTCTTTGTTGTAGATTATTGGTGAAGACATGTTAGACAACTATAATAAATAATATGTGTCATACGTTATAAGCTAATTAGCAAGATGAGCTAGCAACTTAGAGTTTTTGGAAATTCAAATGTCCACAAATTTGAGATTTGCATGCCTTTTTATTCTTTAATTTGATCATAGAATTTAATACATTATGATATATTGCAGGATTTTTTTAATTTTGCATTTCACATTTCGATATTAGAGCTTTATCGAATTCACATGTAATTCAAATGTATTAGTACATGCTAAGGTAGGGTCTGATACAATAACAAGTGTATGCTGTGAGCAGTTTGTATTGAGTTTAGTAACACTCCTGCGCACTATTTCTAAATAAAAGCCTTTCCATGGATCTTCTCCTGAGGTAGTCAGCATTAGATGCTGCAGTTCAGTGGAGACAGAGTAAATTAGTTAGGACATCAGGAATCTGGAAAAAAAACACTCTGCGGAAAAAAAAACATTACACATCTATCGAGATTAGAAATTCTGAGACATTTTAACGTTCCACTTTAAATTTGTATTTGTTAAGCTTTCTAAAACAGGGTTATTCATTATTACTTTCAAGTAAAGTTTGTTATCCATTTCACATATTAATGTAGTAGTATTATCCAGATGTAACCAACACATTGGAGTACGGTAAATTAACTCTGTTAACACACATATTATATGTATGATATAGAAAAGTATTAGACTTAAAAAAGGCTTAAGGTGTAAGATGTGTAAGTCTAGAAAACCATTACATTTTATCAAGGTATTTAAATTGTTTCTTCCATATGTTGCATGCTAAGGGTTTAATCAGAATAATAATTGTAAAGTAATGATTGGAAAGGAAGGATTGCTTTTTTTTAATTGTGAATCAGTGTTTATTAAGCTCCATCTAAATTCCCTATCAAAAATGCCTTGAATGAGGGTGATATTATTAAAACAGCATATGTTTCCTCATAGCATCTAAAAGACAAATGAAGCATTGTAAAATTTATAGCTTTTCATTTTTATCAACAAAGTCATGTCATGAGTTTGCTAGATCAGCTTTTTGTAAATACTGTAGTAATGCACTTAAAAAGTTACACAAAAGCCAATATTCTCGTCAAGTCTTCCCACTTCAGTCAGGAAGAAGCAGAAAGCTTTCCTTGGTGACATCTGTGACACACCATTCTGAAGGTTCAAGAAATAAGTCTTTGTTGTAGTTTATTGTTCAAGATATGTTAGACAACTATTATAAATATTCTTTATAATAATATTTTATAACAATATTTTATAATAATTTAAAATGTATTATTTAAATTATACGCTCATTATTATCTTATTTGAATTATCTGCTTTTCGTGGGACTTAAATAGGAATGGTATAGCATTATGAGCTAAAAACTGATTTTTATACCCCTATCCTGGACATTTAGAAAAATAAAATTTAAAGAACAGAAAAAACATTCTGTCCTTTCTTAAATATGCCAACTTCTGATAATTCAATTCAGTGCACTGTATACTGACATATACACACTTAAGATAATTTTTAACAACACATATCACTTGAATTACTTTCTCCAGCCTAGATCCTCGAATATGCTTTTGTCTAGGTTTTCCACTACTTCAGGTTTAATGGTGTGTGTTTCTTTTCTTTCTTTTTAGCTGTCCTCAAGCGGTTATATATTATACACAATTGCTTTACCCTTTTTCAAAATGTGAAAGTCCACTTCTAATTACATTAAGAATTGTTACAAAGGTCTGTTGTCAATTAATCTTTAAACTTGGATCAGGAAGTTTGCATTAGGATAAATTATTTATCTTTCACTTTCCCAGAAGTCAGGCCATAGTTATTTCCCATTTGGCATTTTATTGGTACCTTGGCTGTATGACTCCAGCCAGTCTTGTCTGTGAATGTCATTCCTGAAAAGCTCTGTTTTCCCTTTGGCCCTTCCTAAACAAATTCTGTGTGCAAATGTGAAGAGCATTTTGATCAAGTGGCTCAGTCTGTGCATCCTCTCAGGACTAGAGATGTTGAAAAAAAAACATCACTAAGAAGAAAACAGCAGCATGCCCCAGAAAAAAAAAACAGTGAAATGAAAAGTAAAAAAAGGCTTTTACGACAATATATCTTTTATCCAACTTCATTGGAAATGGAAGAACTAAACAACGCAACAGAACAGTGCTTTCTCTTTAGCGGGAGACATATTTTCACAGACATTTGTTCTGTCCAGACGTTCAATACAGCTGAAAAACAGTGCATTAATTCAATGACCATTCAACCAGGGAAGAAGCTTCACCCTGAACTGAACTGAGAACTGGGTCTGGCTAATTTAACACAAAGCTGAAGCTTTTTTCTTACTTTTATATGGGAAATTCAGTAACTTGTGTCTTTGAAAGTTGTGTCTTTGAATTTGGTATGGGGTAACCTGCTTATTCCTGATGTTTGAATGGAAAACTACAGTACTTTAGAATTAAAAGATATACAGTACAGTAGTTCATCCTGTCGTGGGCTATGGGATGCAGGAATCTAACCTAGTAGATACGAGCCTAAGGCAGGATTACACCCTGGTATCTACTGTACACACGTGCATCTTCATTTCTGAAGATGTACCAGAACATAGACACAAAAGGTGTTCCCATTTTCAGTTTTTGCAATATGCTAAGGAATCTTCTGGAGGGAATGTTCTGAAAACCTAAAAGAATGGCAAAAAAAAAGTTTTATTAACAAACTAAAAACTGATGATTACTTCTTGTTGGAGCACACGGCTGGGTGAGCATCATGGACTAAATGGACTAAAGTGAGCAAGGGTTTCTCCACCTTTCCATGCAACCTTTAGTACCTGCTAGGTGTCTTTAAAGCTTGCAGCATTGTCAGAGATGTGCAATTAATAAGTAATAATAATTGACAAATAAGTAATAAGTAAACACCATAGTCAGATTCTTTTGGCAAAGATATTGTCAATACAGTAAACTATGTTGCATGCAGTAATAGTGATAGAAATTTAGATTGAAAGACTTTGAATATCTACAGTATAGTAACCACAAGAAGTACTGTTTTTACTTTAGTCTATATTATCTGTACATATATTTTTGTAATATTGTAACACAAAAATAAGAGGACCAATGTACTAGTGAGCTACTTTATTCAACATGCTTGATGCATGCTTTATCATGAAGATATCTTAAAGGCTTATTTGCATTTTATAGTCAGTTATTAACTATGGTCACCTGAAAAGCATTGCATGAACTATGTTATCATTAAATGTCAAAATAAGCTATATTAAGTGAAGAAAACACCTTAATGTACTGTATTCAAAATAACAATTCATTTCACTACATATTCATTAAATTGTACATTTAATGTACATTTTTTGCAGCGCCATCTTTTGTGAAATATCAAGTCAAAAGTATGGGGTGGTTACTATGTGGTTTAATATATTCCAGGTTGTTATTCTGGTTGTTTGTTAGCCAGCACAGATAGTGACAAGGATCATTTTGTGTGTTTCTTGGCTTGCAGTCACACTGTATTATTTGAAAATTGGTGCTTTTTAAAAAGCATTTTTTGACAGTAATAATAATATTGTTGTCAGCAGTAAAACAACAAACTGCACTACAGCACTGAAGCTCCTTAATAATCACATCCAATACATCTGTGACATACAAATATACTGTTTATTGCCTTCATACACTCCTCCAACTGACTTCATTCTTTTGTAATTTTATGCAGAGAGTGAATCTGTCCTTTGATTTTCCATTTTATGGGCATTTCCTGCGTGAGATCACCGTGGCGACCGGTGGTAAGTGAACATCAATCCAATGCTCATAATTTTTTACATTTTACAGTGCTGGTTAAACTGTGTTTGCCAATAAAAAGAGGGTAGTAGATGTTTAAAGGGGGTAACAGTATTGGTGCTGACTGGACAATTTCATGAAGCAGGTTTATTCAATAACTTCTACAATGCAGCATCTAAAATATATTAAGTCACTTGAGTAAAATATGGTTCCAAAGCTGTTATTTGGCATTTACCACAGTACAAATCCGTAGCAGCCACTGACTTTAATGACTTTGAAGACTATATAAAAAGCAGCCAAGGAAGAATACATGTAAGAAACTTTATACTCTATCCATCTTAAAGTTGTCCTTTGGCAGCAGTGTGGAGGAGTGGTTTGGGTTCTAGGTTCTAGAAAGTTGTGGGTTCAAATCCCAGGTGAGTCACCACTGTTTTCCCCTAGAGAAGGGTATTTCACCCAAATTACTCCTTGCTGTATAAATGGTTGCAAATGTAATTTGTGTGGGATAACAGTGCCAACCAAATACATATATGCTTTAGTTAAAGCTTTACTGTACTGTTTACTTCATGAAAATTAGTCAATTAATATTGATACACTTTCATTTTTTACATCTTGTTCACATGTAACTTTGTTTTATGAGAGGCTACCCTAATTTCCCTACTGAGGATACAGTATATCTCATTGTTCTCTTTGTAAAGGTAAGTGAACCAGGATACTTGGAAGCTTTCAAATAGTAATAAGAAAATTGGCATTCTGACAACTCACAATGTACAAGAAAATTTTTATTTCACTAAAAACATGTTTGTTTCTGATACAGCCCTCTAGATTTGTTATATTCTCTTCAACTGTTTTTATGTTAATTAACTAGTGTTTGACAGCCTATTCGGTAATGACACCACATTTACTCATGAGAGAAATTTTACTTTAACATAAAAAGCAGTTGTTGTCAAGAATAACTGGTTGCTTATTATAATAACTGCCCCTGTACAAAGAAATTGCCCTGCATCGAGAACAGAGATGTTCTGGGCTGAGATTTACTGCAGGATTTGCTCCAATAACTTCATTCACTTAAGGTATGTCAGCCCCAAGGGCAATTTACCAGCAGAAAAAGTGTACATGTGAACAAGCTGATTTTTAAATCACTGTGCTCACAATGTTCAAGCAGAAGATACAGAGAACATTTTAAAATGAAAACATATAAAACAGCATTTTTTAATGGGTGCAATCAACCATAAGTTTCTTCATACCGAGAAGAATTAAAATGTTAAAGGTACTGCCTATTGAAGCTATAGATTTAAACTTTAAAAAATATATATATTTATTCTTATTATTTACCTTACCTTATTATTTATTATAGAAGCATGATGTAATCTTAATAGTGCAACATAAAAATTCACAAACTTTTAGGCTTGTTCTCAATTAAATTTTAATGTTTCTGTTTGCAAGTACTTTCAAATCCCAGCTGCTAGTTACCCACGATTACCTAAAACTAGACATGTCAAGGTGAAACCTAGTTATGGCAGGTAATGTTTTGCCCTTTTTGTAATACAGTTTAATTTTTAATATGTAAAAAACAGAAATATGTTTAATTCCACTAAAACCATTTTTTCAGTTGTACCTAATGTCTTCAGTTGTTTTGTTTTTTTCTAAAATGTGTAGTTGCTGACTACTCTTCACTTAATACTGCCCCTATTTAGAGTCTTTGCATTAGCACAGGGGAAGGAAGACTCAGTACATGTCTAGCACTGAAACATGTAATTGCCTGAGCTGTTTTACACAGTGCAAGCATCACAATGGCATACAGAAGAATGACCCTATTTGGAAAAGTGATACTCCCCTAACTGACAAGCTCACAGGTTGCCCTTGCGGGGTACCTCAAACCCATTCAGCGAAATGGGCACAGAGTGAGTCGTGCACGGCCACTTGGGGGATCATTATTGAAGTGTCATAACCAGCCTTGAACAGGAGATGTAAAAGAGTCACAGTGAGTGCCTTTACTAGTTAAGCCTCATGATTGCTCCTTCCAATCAGTTTATAAGGGAGAAGAGCAAAATAGGGAGAAACAACAAGCCCAGTAGCCCTAGTTTATAACCATAAGTATAAGATGTGAGATTACTATGATATACCGTATTGCCAACAAAAGACTCTCGCTGTTGGTATAATAGAAGTAAATGTAATGCAAAATAGAAATAATGAATACATTAACACAGACATTAGCATACTGTAATTATCTGGTGTTTAGATAGCTTTATAATTGTTATCTGAAACATTTGGTAATTACAGTTATATTTAAAATATTTAAATAAAAGTTGGTGAGACTTTTCTGTCTTAGAAAGCCTTATTTGTAATTTCTGTGGAATAGTCTTTGGCTAACAGACTAGACATTATACACTCTGAGTGTTCTTGCCCAATTAAAAAATCTATTTTTCTTTCAAACACATTTAGTAAAAAAGGAGCATGAACAAAAGGTCAGTACAGTGTCTTAAGATAATGACATAAAATTTAAATCTTTGTCTCAGCTATAGCAATTACATTCAAACTTTGTTCATTGCCTTTCACAGTTTGTATGGAATACACTCACAATGACACATACTGTATGTGAAAGCTCTTTGCAATAGGGGAATATTGGATTGTACTGTACTTTTACACAGGACAAATCACAAGACTCCACTTTCATACATTAAATAAGTTGGTGTGTCAGAACTCTTATTGATATGCAAGATAAGGTACCATCGAGACCTTATGTGGCACCATGAAATGGGGCCCATTTAAAAAACATGGAATATTAAGTGCAATACTTAATGTAGTTAATAGGAGGATGGAATGCTGCATCCTTCTCATTTGCCTTCACTTAGCAGCTAAGTCTGAGAGCACACATCTACAGATTCTGCAAGCACCTTAATCGAGTGGATATAAACCTTCCAGTTGCTGTAGCGGTGATGCAGAAAATCGGCAGAGGTGCTTTTCTGTGATAAGGCACCTTGGTCACTCTAAGGTATACTGAGGTTGCAGGCAATGTGAGGAGGAGTTATCAGCAGCTGGCAGATTGTGTAATTCAGCATTTCACTTCACTTCTTTCATTCATTGGTTCAAGTCAAATTGCAGAGTAAACTACTTTTGTTAATCACTTGTTCCTTGAATGCGAAAAATTAAATTGCATCAGTTTTGTTAATTCTGTTACTGTTTGATTTACTGTATATACTGTACAGATGCAGCCATTCGGAAAGCACGTCAAAACGCGTGTCTGCAGTAAGCAAAGTGCCGCTGTATGATTTGGTTTTGCCGAATTTAGCTTTTCACTGCCCAAAGAAGATCAATAGGTGGCACTTATGGTGTGTTAGATGTAAGTGAAACAGTAGCTTCATTAAATCTGTTGCACTACTTCTTTAAATCCACATAATTTTGAATATTAATATGGAATCATGTAACTAAAGGGAAATTTTTGGTAGCTCAAAATAAAAATAACTTAAGCATAATAATGTTTCAAAATGTTATTAACAATATTAATTTAGGAATATCAATATATATTTGCAATGTAGTATATTGCTCGAAGTGGTGCATGATAAAATAAAAAATGAGGTACACAAAAGTATTCCCCTTCTTCATAAACATTTTCTGCATCAAATTCTTGCTCTCTCTCTCTTGCTGTCGTTTTTTGGAAAAGGTTTAAAATGCTCCTTTTAACTTGCATGTTTCAAATTAAAACAAAAAACAATATTTTGAACAAGCGAGTTTTGTTAAGTTATATAAGTATTTATAACTCCTAAAATATTTTATAATATGCTGTTATTCTAGTAATTTCATGCTGTCAGACTCCTCAACCTACTCCAAATCTGGAAACTTAGTTCTTTGCACAATCCTGTAAAGTAAATTGCACTATGCACATTGCACTTTATGTACCCTGTACCCTGTCAGAAATGTCAATGTCTACATTGTCTATAGCATTTGTTTGGCAGTCCCTTGTCTGTATTCACACTGTAGACCTGGAGAAAGATATTTCGTTCCTCTGTATACTTGTATACTGTATGGCTGGAATGACAAATGAACTTGAACTATTATAAGGATTCACTTCAAGGAGAACAATCAATTCTAATCAATAATAATTCTCATCAATTTCCCTTCCGGATCAATAAAGTCTTATCTATCTAAAGACTCTATGCATAACGGCAAAAGGGGTAACATGGAGGTTAGCCCAGGCTCAGGAGGTCAGACGATGTCGGGTACGAACCTATGCCCTCAGGCCGCGGAGGAGACGACCTGGTGCTCGGCGGGTCTCAAGACATCCGAACCCTCAATGCTGAGTGAGGAGGAAAGGGTGACCCGGAAATGTATAGACCCACATAAAGACACACCAGAAGGACAAGAAAAGCACAGGGAATCTAGGATCAGGACAGAGAAGGAGCGCCCTCTAGGTGTAGAGGGCGTAACATGCAGTTTCTGTGGTCAGAGATCATGGACATGAGGGGAGAATTTGCATGCTCTGAAAGTGATTTAAAGTTTAATCCCTTCAATTACTTTAATCATGTTATCCTGTGGTAATACAACTGTGAATTGTGAAAGTTCCATGTCTGGTCTTCTAAAAAATGTTTAAGTTAATGTCTAAGACAACATGTCTAAGTTGTCAAATGCTGATGGGGTGACATGGAGTTAGAAATTAAAAATATTTATACTAAATAGTTACCTGACCTTGAATATATATACTGTACACTCAACCCAGGGGTTTACTAGTAACCCAGTACTACCTAATATGCACTTACAGATCGTGGCTGAAAACCCACAGAGACATTTTGACATTGTGATCTGAGTCATATTTTTTCTAATCAGAAAGCTGTCACAGGACAGGCTTATCTACATTTTCATGCAAATTCCAGGTTCCAATGTGAAATTGGAATTGTAAATGGAATTCATACATTCATTTCCTTTGGCTTTGGGCTTTTGGTTGGAAAACTGATTCTATTGAGCTGTCCTCAGAGTGCTGTTTGCACATACATACTGTACATAAAAA